GCTCACCAGAAAGACAGAGAGAGAGAGACAGAGAGACAGAAAGTGAGAAATCAACCCCGGGGGGCATGGTCACACCACAATCCCTTCTCTTCCATTCTCCTCTAGGGATCTTGGGCACGCATGCACACGCGCCCGGCATGAGTTTAAGCCACTGGGTCCGGGACTCGAACTGCAGTCAACTACATGGGAGTCCAGCGACATAGCCATTACGCTAACTGCTGGTCCCTATCTTGCTTTGCTTCTTAAAGGTTGTCCTACAGGTTGATTTTCACCTGATTTCAATCCTATAGACATAAGAAAGACAGAAGACAGGAATGTGGTTCCTTGGAGTTTGTTGTGCCTGTGTGAACTTTGATGTTGTCCCAGTCTATTTCATCTTCTTTATCTGACATTTCATAAGGCTGGTCTACACACTGGATTATGAACTTCTTTGTGAGACTGTCTTAGAGCCCAGTTGTCCTTGCTTTAGCCCTCTTTTCAGAACCCGAGAGAGCAGAACATGAAGCACAGTGTTCTCTCCACTTAGTATAAATTAGAGACAAGTTTTGAACAATACTAACATGAGGTAAGGAATGGAATACTGGTTAGGATAGGTGCAACTCAAAGCCACTAATTATGATTATTGTCTTTAGATTTTTGATGCAGTCCGGCAATCAAAATTTGTTCTAGAGAATCTACGGCATTACACAGTACATCCAAATTTGGTAGGTGGATAAAGGGTCCCCTCAGATCTCTAAGGCAAGTTTCAGCAGCGGTGCAGAGGCCCACTGCAGAGTATCCCTACACCTCCACATGCCCCTAGCTTCTGTGAGTGTGCATGCTCTTTGGACAAGGAGGAAGAACTGCTCCTAGGCTGCCCACATCAGAGGTGGTGCTGGGGATGGTGGTGATAAGGTGGGAGGAGAGAACTGGGAAGAAAGTAGCCCTTCAGCTGGTATTTCTCTCTCTCTCTTTTTTAGGCTGAGAAAACATACTTATGAGGAGAAACAATTGTAACCCATTCTTTCTCTATCTGTTCTTCCCCTTCTAACCCTCTGCCTTCCTCCTATGGAGATGAAAGCAAATTTAGTAGAATGCTTCATCCCCGTCCACACAACGTTGTGCTTATTAATGCTCGTTAATGTGGTTGTACCTGTGGAAAAATGGTGGGTGGGAGACGTAGATAAAGAAGGTATTGCCTGGGCTGTGTGTCCTACTAGAAAACTCACCGAGCAAGAAACTTTGGTTCCTGGTATTCTTCCAACTCCTTCCCACAAAGGGGTTATGGAGATCAGGCCAATTAGGTTTGGTCACATGGAAAGCTCTCTGTTTGCTCCACCATGTAGGGCACTATACTTTTCTGGGAGAATTAAATCACCTTGCTTGTTTTGTCGTGGAGAGCTTTTCATTGCATTTCCCCAGCCCCTTAGCATATTTATAGGGGAATACTTCAAGAGAAGAAAGGGACAAAGAACTTCAAAAAGTTTGTGATAAACAAATTTTGTTATGGATTTGTCCAGCCCCTGTCCATCCTCTTTCCCTACCCATAGAGACAAAAGATTAACCAGCCAACTTGTTCATCTGCTCTGGACCTGATCTCTTTGTCTCTCTGGAAAACTTTCTGTCCACTCAGGCCCAATACTATGAGCCTTTGAAGACTACCACACTGCAGAAATTCCTGGCTCAAAACAGGAAAACCACAAGCTTCATGTTAAAAGTAACCGAGTATGATCAGGATAAGACTTCACTGATTATGACCAACAACCCACTGCCTTGCCCCATCAGCCAGCAGGAAAAGAACAACACACCACAATATTTTTCTCACGAGTTACTGCTCAAGGTAATGGTACTCGGAAAGTTTCCTGGGACCCTAAGTATGGGCCTTGATGACTTAGGAGTCAGCTTGGAGAAGGGAGCTAACTTAATGTGGAAAATAGTGCTCAGGAAACTGCCTTTTTCTCCTTCTTCTTGGCCATATGCTTTACAAACCAGAATCTGGATACCTGGGAAATACTCAGAATCATAATTCTATAAGCGTTAAGTGATAAAACTTCATTGTAAGGGAAAAAATGGGATCTTAACTGGAAAGTTGCTCTTTGCTCAGGAAATAAGGAATAAGGAATATAAATAAATATCTAAATGGGAAAGGAGTAAAGGTTTATGCTTTATACCCATTGCTTTATTTTTTTGTTTTGTTTTGCTCACCCCCCACCCCCCCAAGGTTTTTGCTATAGAGTGCGTGCACTCGCCAGAAAGACAGAGAGAGACAGGGAGACAGAAAGCAAGAAATCACCCCCAGGGGGGATGGTCACGCCGCAATCCCTTCTCCATTCTCTTCTCAGGATCTCGGGCACGCACACACATGTGCCCGGCATGAGTTTAAGCCACCGGGTCCGGGACTTGAACTGCGGTCAACTACATGGGAGTCCAACGACATAGCCATTAGGCTAACTGCTGGTCCCACTCATTGCTTTGTTAAGAGACGGGAGAAGAGGGCATATACATCACAGCAGCCAGACATTTAGAACTCTGTTATAACACAGTTCAAATTCCATTAATAAACAATTGTTTATCATACGGTAAGCAAAAAAACAGGGGACCAACATACGGCATAATGGTTACATCACTGGACTCCCACGTAGTCAACTGCAATTGGAGTCCCGGATCCAGAGACTTAAAACTCATGCGGACCACATGTGTGTACATGCCCAAGATCCCAAGAGGAGAATGGAGGAGAAGGGATTGTGGTGTGACCATCACCCCCAGGGGGTGATTTCTCATTTTTTGTCTCTCCAGCAAGCACATGTGCCCTATAGCAAAACTTCTCTCAAAAAAAAAAAAAAAAAAAGAACATAAGGCTGGTTACAGGATGGGTTTTATTTAAAAGAAATTTGGAATCCAATAGGAGAGACAGATCAATAAATGACATACATAAAAGTAATTACAATATACCAGGATGTATATGAATAGTAGAATATACAAGATACAGAAGTAATGTAGAATAGAGAACATTATACCTGTTGGAAAAAAGAAATGACTAGTGACAAAGAAGTAAGAAAATATTCGAATCACATAGAAATGCAAAGACGTGGAGACATGAGAAACCAAGGTACATTTAGGAGATCTAGGAATGTAAAGGTAGGAGACAAAAAGATGTAATCAAATTTGCATTTGAGAGAGACCATTCTAGAGTTTGAAGAAAAGTGCATTAGTTATAGAAGAGACAAAACCAAGAAGCAAAATACCAGGGGACCAGCAGATGGCATAATGGCTAGTTATGATATTGCTTAAGAGAGGTACTGAAATTTTGAACTAAATCAATAGCAGAGGAAGTGAAAAACAGTGTTTTAAGAACTATTTAGGAATCAGGATCTAAAAAAGATTTTGACAGGGGACCAGCAGGCGGCATGGTGGTTAAGGTGCTGGACACTCCCACATGGCCAACCATGGTTTGAGTCCCGGACCTTGTGGTTTGCATTCTCACTTTCCCTCTCTTTTTCTCTCTCTGTCTCACTCTGGTCAAATTTGTAAATAAATAAATAAATTTAAAAATTTAAGTAAATATTAAAAAAAATATTTTGACAGCCTGAGAGAGCGTAATCTAACAAAAAGAAACTAAATGAGATATATAAAAGTACAGATAAAAGCATCTAATAGAAATTTGATGCTAGGAGTAAGATTACCCAAGATTGAGCCTTACAATAAAATGTAGTAAATTTGAAATCAGTCTTGTCTTCATTGCTAGATGCATGGCAGTAACATTCCTGAGTAGAAGATAAAACATAAATACCCAGTCTATATACTGATAAAGCCGTTAAACAATTCATTGCCTGTGGTCTCCTGGGTCTCAGAACTTGTGCCCTTTGTAGATGAGCTCAGTGGTCATCTCTCATGATAGTAGGTGCAATATACAGAGAGAATTGTCCAGCTCACGGTAGAGAAGGAACACAGGCTATCATGTATCTGGGTGCAAAATGAGCTTTCTTCCAACAGCTAGCACTTTGTGAGCCTCCCAGATCAGGGAAATACCTGATCGTATTCATGAGCAAACTGGGGTACCAGTTAAATTCTATTAATAAATAGAGTTCAGGCTCTGAAAAACTACCATGGTAGTTTTATGAAGTCATCTGGAACAAGCCCAAGAAGATTTAAATGCCCAATATTACAGTGCTCCTTTAATATGTATGCTGCATCCTCTTCTTCCCTTGCTGGGCAAATGTGACAAACTTTTGTGGAACAAGACTCATATACAAAAAAGATATTTTCTTGCTTTGTCCAGACACACACAAAAGAGTGTTGGTTCAGTAAGCAAGTTGTAGAATGTATCAGATGTGTCAATGTTTGTTATAGAAGAAGGGAATGCTCTAAAGAGTCTACTTCATACAGTACGACCCTGTCTTTACTCCTAGCTGGAGGATACCAGACCCAGTGAAGCATAATTCATAGGCTGGTTAGTGACCTGGGGTGTATACTGGTACTCCAAATCAAACCAAATAAAAACCAATTAAAAACAAACAAACCAACCAGAAAATCGAACCATCCAGTTTACCAATGGCCAAAACAACAACCCTGAATTAATCAAATGTTACCTTCCAGGCAAACCTGAACTGGAAAATGAAAAGACTGGGCAGTGGGAAAGAAAGCTGAAAGGACACAGAGTCAGGCCACTAAAGAATCAAACCATGAGGAAGAAGAGTAATGTAGGGCCATGAAAATAGAATATAGACAGGTTGAAATCATAGGAAAATATAATAAGCAGGAGCTGTTGGTAGAAAAAGTATATACATATACAAAGTAAAGAAACAGAGTGAACATTGTAGACAGAAAAAAAGGAAGCAGACAGGAAGAAAGTAGGAGAGACATATTAGTAACATGCTATTATAGTTATGCCTAAGTAACCTGAATGGATTCCTATTCCTTAAAACTAGAAAAACCTGAAGTAAATGAGTTCAGAATTAAAATGACATGGTTCAGTAGCAGCAAGTATTTAAAAAAGACTTTAAATTTGGGGGGAAAAAACCCCAATACATTAATTAACTAGTGTGGTAATTTATTCCTTCTTTTGTTCACACCATACATATTTATTGAGTACCTACTATGTGCCAGGCACTCTTAAGGGTGCTAAGGATGTATCAGTGACTAAGTCAAAGTCTTTATCCAAATGAAACTCAATTCTATTGAGGTAGATAGACCTTAAGCAAGTAAATTATTGTACAGATAATGTACAATATGATAGGTGCCAAAGGCAGGATAGAGGATGGAGTGTGAGGAGCAATTTTAGATAATGTAGTTATGGAAGACTTGCAGAGGAGGCGATGACGTTTGAATGGCCATTTTAAGGGGGTCAGAAGATGTGGTTGGCAATTGCTACACCTGGTATATTATTTTCATTTCAGATGATCACATATTAGGTAAAACATAAATTATAACTTTCTCAAATGTGATAATTCAGGAGAATAAAGGAACCCAATACCGTATCATATGAAGAAGAGTTCAAGATACTGGGCAATGTTTAATTTAGAAGACATAGAGTTTAGGAGAAACATGTTTGATCTTTTTGAATTTTTTTCCCCCACTTTTTAAAAAGAATTATTTGTTTGTCCATTCCATTTGTTATTTTTTAATTTGACCAGAGAGAGACAAAGAGAGACAAAGGGAAAGTGAGAAAGCAAGCCTCCAGGTCTGGGACTTGAACCGTGGTTGAGCATGTGGGAATCCAGCGCTTTAACCACTACACAACCTGCTGGTCCCAAGGATACCTTTTTTTTTTTTTTTTTAGCTTTTTTTTTTTTTTTTTTTTTTTTCCTTTCAAATCTTTTTATTTAGCTTACAACGTGATCCATTCAATCATGTTACTTAGCTTACAAAGTGAATATTCCAACACGTGTACATTTCTCACCAGTCCAGTTCACCAGACTAGAAAGTTATCTTCAATAGATAATAATCAATTTCTTTGTCCCATAAATGCCTTGCCTCTCTATTTTTCTCCTTAATGTCCTTCCTCAGACTCTACTCCTTCACTTGCTCTCTTCCCACACTGTATCTGGTATTCACAACCATTTACTTAGTTTCTATAGCCTTTAGTCATTCAGTTTCGGCCATAGAGTGCAAACACTCGGTAAATTGTAAGTGGAGACATACTTTTTAAGAACTCTGTAGAAGAGGGATGAGATTTGTTCTGCTTGGACTATAAGGGTAAGGGAGCTACTATTGCCTGATCAAAGATGAAATCAGCTGGAGTCTTTTAGCCAAGAGAAGACTGACCACTTAATAGTAAGACTGCGGAAGGATGTAAGTGTCAGATGTAGTTAGACTGCATAACCTTTAAGATTTTTCTTGGAAGGCCTTTGATTCTATGACTTTTAGTAATGTTGAAATTATTACTTCACAACACATCCTATCCCATGGCCCTTTCAGTGCAGACAGAGAATAGAATGTAGATGAAGCAACCATCTCTAAGAAAGTAATGTAAAGTTCTCTGGATCTATTTCCCAATTTATTGTCAAATGTTTGGTTTTGCAACAAGCAATTAACGGATTGCATCCTTCCCCAAACTGGGTAATTTCCTCTGCCATTCACTTCAACTGACCAGTACAATCAATTACTTAGGAATGCGATCAAGCTTTGGACATGCCACCTGGCAGTGAAACAAATAATCTTTACTCCACTCAGAAAACTGCTTCCTCTGGATCTGGTTTCTGAGTTTATACTTCCCTCTATGATAGGGTTTTTTTGTTTGTTTGTTTGTTTGTTTTTTGAGAGGTTTTCGCTATAGGGTGCGTGCGCTCGCCAGGCAGACAGAGAGAGAGAGAGACAGAAAGCGAGAAATCACCCCCCAGGGGGGATGGTCACGCCGCAATCCCTTCTCCTCCATCCTCCTCTCGAGATCTTGGGCACACACGCACACGCGCCTGGCGTGAGTTCTAAGCCACCGGGTCTGGGATGCGAACCGTGGTCGACTATGTGGGAATCCAGAGACATAGCCATTATGCTAACTGCTGGCTCCCTATGATAGGTTTTGTTACATCCTCATAAGAGAACTGGAACTTGGACTAGAAACTTAGTCTAGTCTTTCAATCCTAGGAGACTCCTCTTACTCCCTCCTTATCCTTCTTCCTTCTACTACAGGAAATTCATCAGCAGCACAAATCCTCTGAGGACTTCAGCCTACCCCAGATACCTCTGAAAAAAATGTTAGGATCTGGGCTGAAACCAGTCCTCCCTGTGACACTGTTGGGTGATTCTACAACCAAGCAAGGACAGTGGTTTAGGTGAAGTTCTGTTCTTCTTATACTCATTTTCTTTTCTATCTTTTCCATATTCATGCTACTTTTTTTTTTCAATACAATTTAACAAACTTTTCAGTTGTGGGGAACTTGTACAACCATATTAAGACACAGCTTTCTTTCCTGACCCTCGATCTCATTTACACCGTAATGAAATATAATAGAAATGCTAATGTAAAACTGAGCTTCTCCATTGACAGTGTTTTCAAGAGTAAAAGGAAGTGTTTATAATTCTGTACTTTGGAGAAATAGAAAAAAATGTAACCTCAGTGCAAGTGAAGGGCTATAATGTGGGAACAATGAACTAGGAGAACAGAAAGACAAAAAAGATTTTGTTTGAAACTGGTTATAAGAGCAGCGTACAGTTACCTTGGAGAGGAGAGAGGAGATTCTGGATTTCCTTCAATGGTTTCCAGTGCTGAGTTCTAGAAACAATTCTTGCCACTTAATTCTGTACCAATCAACAGCCTTTTGCTATCATCCCATCTTTTCCCTCAGAATCTCTGAGAATGTAGTCGATTTAAAAGTGACTGCTTCCATTAACCCCTTCCCTAGGTTCTATTAAATGAATTTTCCTCATTAAAGGTTTTCTACTGACAAGGATTTTAAGACCGAAGGGAAATATTCAAAAGTCTATGCTTCGAGGAAACAGAAAAAAATGTACCCTCAGCTCAACTTCGCTCCAGTCCGTGAAAGAGGTAAGAGAAAAAATGGCAATCTCCTCTCTTCCAAAGCAATGGCTTACTAGACCGAGGCGCAGACTGAGAGGTGGGACCTCTGGGGATCAGAGATACAGGCAAGTTGGCATCTCTTGTGCTTTGTTCTGGAGACTATTTTTCCTTGCAGCATGGTAACTCAAAACAAATAGAGGCTCAGGTGATGTTAGGCTCCGTCTCAGTTTAAATCCTCAAATTTCAGGAAACCGCGAGCATAGTGATTCCTAAACTGTCAATATATCACCTACCACTTTAATTGTTTTTTATATTGATGTTTTATTTGCTTTATTATTTTACCTACCATTTTTCTTTCAAAGCATTTATAAAAATTTTTGTACTAGTTAATGCTATATCATTATCATGATTTTGATATACAAATTACTTGTTTTTTACTAACACACATTTAATCAAATCCATAATAATTGAAACTTAAAATGCTTATCAATGTGCCACCTAAAACCACCTAGTGGTATGCATATTATATTTCAAGAAAAACTAGAAGGGCTAAAGGATGAGTCTATGAGTCTCAGAAGCATGGGATAGGGAATGGGGTAGAGGGGTTTGAAATAAGGTTGTATGGAAAAAGGTACGACGAGAAGACTTCTTTATGTATTGTCATTCAATGAACATTTATGGGGTACCTACAAGGTGTGGGACACTTATCAAGCACCAACAATAGCACTTTTGTTCTGTTACACAGATGACCAGATTATGGAAGGCCTTGCATGTGACATAAATAAAAGCTTAGGTTTTCTCCAGTCGGCAGCTGGAACCTGCTAAAGAATTTCAGAGCACTCAGTACACATGTGTATTAGAAATATAACTGATGGGTCCCCAAACTTCACCAGCTTATAGCTTCAAAGTCCATTTCTCCCACGAGGCTTCTCTCCTCAAGCAATTTCTTCTCTTTTCTCTTTTCTTTTCCTTTCCTTTCCTTCTTTTGGAGAGGTTTTTGCTATAGGGTGCGTGCGCTTGCCAGAAAGACAGAGAGAGACAGAGAGACAGGAAGCAAGAAATCATTCCCGCCGCAATCCCTTCTCTTCCATTCTCCTCTCGGGATCTTGGGCACGCACGCACACGCACCTGACATGCGTTTAAGCCACCGGGTCCAGGACTCGAACCGTGGTCAACTACATGGGAGTCCAGCAACATAGCCATTACGCCAGCTGCTGGTCCCTCCTCAAGCAATTTCTAAGACCCCTTAAGTTACCTACTCATGTCCCATAAGGCTATTTTAGTGATTGCTTGACACCTTTGCTAGCCATCTTCAGCCCAAACAATCACAGTTCCAAAGATGTGAGGTCATATACACCATCCCTTAACTGGTTTTTCTGGGTCTCTCTGCTCTTCCTGTACCTATTTGCCACCCCGCCCCATCTCTACCTATTGCCTCTCTGAACTCCCCATATGCAGCTAAAACCAATTGGTGGTATTTGATAAAACTTCATACATACAGAGAAAAGCTTAAGACAGCAGAGAGGCATTTTTCTTGCTTTATAAGGGACTACTCTGAGGTTCAGTCTCAAACCTAACCTTGTTTCCTCCGTACTTCCCAACAGGTCTCTGGCACATTACTCATTTGTGGGGACTCTCCAGGCTTATCTACACTGTCATTCCCTGGGCATTCAATACCCATGGCCCAAGAAAAGGGGAAAGTGTCTCTCTTTCCTCAAAGCCTGTTTATTTTCAGCCCCAGAATGAATTCACCCAAACATCTATTTCCTTCAAGGGAAATGCCATCTGGAAAGTATGGCTTAAATGTTATAAACCAGATAAGGCAAAGATAATAGTACATTTAGTCAAGTCAGAGTTAACTCTTAAATAATACCATATGTAGGATATCAACAATTCAGCTTAAATCCATATATGCAGGAAAGAATTTTTCTAGACTCTAATCCAGATTAAAATTCCTCTGATTTTGCTAGGACTCCACCCTGTTAAGGATACATTTTACAATTTACATTTTGAAACAGGACACTTACTATCTCAGTCTGCAGCATTTATTAGATTTATGGTGATTTTACAGTACCTTCAAGACAAATGAGCAGATATTTATCTATGTATGTTAAGGGCCCATTATATGCGTTTCCTAAACAAAGATAATCTGTGGAGAAGTCGAACCAATGTCCCTGTCTCAAGCACAAGAGAAAGGTAGCAACTTCTCCCAAGGAAACCTGTTCTGTGTCTACTAGGCATCCAAAGAAAGATTATATTGGGACAAGTTGGATGGGGCCTTCAAGGCTGGTTAGGAGGTTGTCCAAGAGACAGATAATAAAGCCTGAACTAAGGGGATAGCAGTAGGTACAAGGGGCAGTTACAAGACATAATGCACCCACAAAGCAGGGAGCGATGGGAGCAAGGCTTTCCAAGAACAGCCAGAGGTTGAAAGAGAAGCCACTGAAGGCACAAGCGCCAAGTTTCTTAGTTACACTCTCAGACACAGAACAGAAAATCAACATGCACTTTGAGACAAGGCCAAGAGGAACATGAATATATAAGTGAGTCCACATTAGCGTAGTAAGTTATTTGTCAATATGGTTGCAGATGAACTATTTGAGATGGGTGGGATTAAACAAGAAAATGCTAAACTGGATTTCAATGAAAGGAAGGGGGCCAGAATTCTAAAGAAGGTTGGGAATAGTAGTCCCCATCCAAAATCCACCTTCTTGCTCAAACCAACTCTCTGAGCTCTCCAAGTGAGCCTTTTTCAAGCCTCATATTAGACATCTTTTTAGTACTTCCGGAAACCCGCATTCACCAAGGTGCCCTGTGCTTTGTCGCAGTTTTCAAGAAGACAGTGAATGGAATGCCCACTTCCAAGACGATTTGGGAACCACTAACGCTTTCATCGCTCCTGGCAGTGAAGCCCACTAGAATCGTGTCGGGGGAAAGTGCCTTCCGCAATGGAAGGGCCCAGCAGTGGATTATCAGCAAAGCCATAGTCCTTAAATAAAGACACACCCTTCAGGCCTCCCGCCCCGCTCTCCTGGCGCAGGAACCTGCAGAAGACGCCAAACAGATTAAACCACATGGATGCTGTATTCGCTGTGGTCTGCAGGGTCTGGAAGGAGGTGGGGGTAGCTCGCGGAGCGGGCCCGAACCAGCCTGGGCAGCAGCACCTAGCTCCGCCTTCGCCTGGCGGGGGGAGGGGGCAGAAGGCGTGGCTACGTTTCCAGGGGCCGGGGGCGGTGAGAGCGGGAAGGGCGGGCTCTGACTCCGAGTGACAGTGCGGCGGCCCAATCAGCGTGAGAGTACGGGACCGGCCTTCCTGCCGCCTCTTCCGCTCGCCGGCTGCGGCGCTTGGGACGGTTGCGGTGGGTCTAGGCGCTGGGAAGTCGTCCAAGATGATTAAAAAATTCGACAAGAAGGACGAAGAGTCTGGTACGCGCGGGGCTTCTGATGCCCACCCCCAGCCGCGAGGGACCCTTCC